CTTTGTATCCTAATGCAGAGACCCCTGTAGCTGCATCTGGATAAAAAAAGACCAATTTTTCAAAAGGAAAGAAAGAATTATCTCCATAAGTGCATTGTTAAAACAAATGCTAATAGTAATAGAAAAACACAGTGTCTTTCTAGAGTGCAGCTGCACTTACCTTGTTCACTGAGGAGATGAAGGCAAGAGAAGTGGATAGAAGGGCTCCGGGTGTTGAAGGCTTTTATATGTTTCTCTGACCATTGTCTTTACGTTGCCCTTTGTACCTCTAGTCCTAATTTGCTACAAAACAAACGTGATATTGGGAGCTTTAATACTGCCACCTCAGCATTGTCCCTCCCAAGTGTTAATATGGGTGTGATGCAATGTGTACAACAATCAGTGCCATTTCAGGGGATTTCAGGGAACCTGCAGCCAACGTGCATGGTGTTTGTCCCATTTTAATGCACAGGAAGCACTTCCATGGTGCAGAGGCCTTTGGGAGCCACATGCGCTAACTAGGTGAAGGTTACCCGATGTGGACTAGAAGTTCAACTCTGAGAGGACACAAAGCTGTCCTTGTACTTGATTACGGGTCTATACATGTTGTTATACAGCAGGGCTGACATGCTATAGGTTCACTCCTAATGGGACATCAGTATTGCCAGTAGTGGCAAGAAAGCAGTAAGGTCTGACAAAGCTTTTATTTTGTGTTCTAAACTTTTCATTTCATCTCTAATTAATCCAGACAGGAATATCTGTGTCTGATTTAATGCACTTTTCAAATGATAGAGGGGAAGCTAAGAAATCACAAAAAACTTTATTAATCTTATTAGAACAAATATCATGAAAATGTTCCATCCATCCAAATTTGAAAAGCTTTGAATGAAAAAACTCAGAGTTGCATGAGAGGATACTTCCCATCACCATCAGAAATACTAACAACAAACCAAGGGAGCCAGCCTCACTCCGTTGAAATATATCCCAACATCCTTCTCCCAGCTCTTCTGAGACAGTTGAGGTGATACCAAATTAACAGAGGAACAGTTGAGCTGAGTGACATTGGCAGAGAGGCAGGAAAGGGAAAAGCTTTGACTGCTTTGCCCAGGGTCCCTATCTAAAGGCAATATGAAGCATTTCAAAAAATTACACCTGGAATGTCAGCTTCTGGATGCTCAGTTAGAAACACATTTTAAAAAGAAATCCTATTTTTCTTTATTTTCTCCAGAAGTACTGAGCACTTAAGAAAAAGTAGGAAATAAATAAAATAATATTAAAAGATATATACATTTAATGGGGTAATTCTGCAGCATCATTCAGTTATTTGCAAATCTATTGTTTGCAAATTTAACAATATTGCAAAAGATGGGCTTTAAATTATCTCTAAATTGTAAGAGAGCACTTTTGAAGTGTCATCAGGATTTGCTGATAATAATGAGAGGCACCTAGAAGCTAATGACTTTAAGCTGCTTCACAAACATTCATTAATTCTTAATGCTTTCAGTTTCTGTTATTATCATATGAAATGGAGATTATGAAACAGAATTATTTAAAAATATGCCAACCAATGTCACTCCTTTTGTTTCCCTAATCAGGCTGTGATTTACTACTTTGGAATTTGCAAAGATAAGATCTTCATTCATGAGGTCAAGTTCTTTATTTTGTAAAATAGTAATATAGTTGGGGAGACTGTATGATGGATCTTCAATTGCTATGAACTGACAGAGTTTCTTAAACTTCAGCCACCCAGTGCCAACTACCAGAAGCTTGAGTCTGGCTCTTATTTAAAACATATATTTTCTTCAGATGACTCCCAGGAAATTGAGTTAAGTTTACATGGCAAATGTTCACTGATGCTGAAGAGATCTATGGTCTATTTTTACCCAGTGAGCACAATAGCCATATAACAACCAAGTTTTATTTTCTTAAAACCTAAAGTGTAATTAAATAGCAGGTGGCCCTAATGCTGGTGCTGTACTGCAGGTGGAATACATTTGCCTGAAAAAGCCCATCATTCCCTGGACTGATGACCATGAGTTGGTACTGATAGTTGTATCACACCTATTTTTAAAGGTGGGGAGTGGCATGCAAAGCAAGAAAAATAGTAAATCTCTCAATGTTGTTTTGTTGCTATGTAGCACCTGAGGCACAAAGGGTGTTTCACATCCTGTAAGCAGTTTGTAAACCATATAAAAGCTCTCCACTCTGTGCTTCTTCCTCTATATCTCCTGATTTATTCCCTGTGGTCAATAAGGTAAGTCTGAGTTGACTTAATTTTTTTCAAGTTGTTTTTTGTTTTGTTATTATTAAGCTGTACATCATGTTATGGAATAGCAGCATGTATTTCTTAGGTTACTGAATTGCAGGTATTGGAAGATGTTCTTTCTAGGGCAAAAGTAGGGTTTTTTGATGCCATCTTCAGTAATCACTTCCCAGTCACTGAAGTGGGAATTCAGGACCTACATGCATTAAGAGATTTAAAAATAGCAGTATGATCATAATATCTATTTCTTTGTGGTAATAATAGCCCTTTCTTTTTTGAAGCTGGGTACTACTGGAGAAGCAATAATAAACTGTGGAAATAAGTGGCTATATCTGACACTTCTGTTCTTTACTTGCTGTAAATATACTGGAAAACTTCACTTTGTCTGAGCTGGTCTTAATAAAGTAGATTCATCATGCTAGAAACTGCAGCAGTGACATAAAGTGTAGGATTCCCCCTATAGTAACATAAGGTGTCTGACTTTGAACGTGACATCTAGGTGTCCTGGCAGTATATGGAGTCTAGAATGTGATTTATCTGGCTAGACATAGGTTTCCAGTTCAGTGAGATGAATTCCGGGGAATCATAACCTTGACTGACTATAAAGCAAGCACAGGTACCTAGCTCAGGTCAGGGGAGGGTGGGAAGGGAGGGGGGAAAAACAAACAAAAAAAGCATTTAAAATCTGTTTTCTGCAGTGTGTTGCAGGCTCGTTGCCATCACAAGAAAGATGTCTTGCTATATCGAGTCCTGTGGACCTTGCGGGGTGACCTGCCCTCAGCCAATTGCCGAGAGCTACAATGAGCCATGCGTGCAGCAGTGCCCTGACTCCACAACAGTGATCATCCCACCCCCGGCTGCAGTGACAGTGCCGGGCCCCGTGTTAAGCTCTTTTCCTCAGAACAGTGTTGTGGGATACTCAGGCCCAGTTGGGATTGGGAGCCCCTTCAGTTTGCAGGGCTTCCAGGGCTTTGGGGGCTCTTTTGGTTCTGGGGGTTCCCAGGGTTATGGGCCCTTCCTGGGCTTTGGTGGCTCCCAGGGTTATGGAGGCTCCCGGGGCTCCTGGGGTTACAGGCAGTCTTTGGGCTACGGAAACTCACTCGGTTATGGCAGTTCCCCAGGTTATGGGGGCTCCTGGGGTTGTGGGAGCTCCCAGGGCTACGGGGGCTCCTGGGGCTCCCTGGGCCAGTATGGGTCCATGGGCTTTGGCAGTAGCAGGAGGTCACACAGCTCTGGCTTCTCCTCCGGTGGCACAGGGTATTACCGTCCCTGCTCCCAAAGCTGGGGCAGGGCCCGCCGTGGGAGCCGCGGGGCCTTTTTAAGCCCCAGGAGGAAGCTGCACGTGCCCTGTGCCCCCCTCCCCTTGGCCACCTTGCGCCCTGTCTGCATGATTTGGCCTCAGCATCCCCCTCATCTTTCCCCCGTGCTGGCTGTCCCTTGGGCCCTGAGCGGGGCTGTGTTATGCCCAGCATTGCACGCTTTTGCCTTGTCTTGGCTTTACTGTCTGCAATTGCCTCTTTCACATTAAAACCCTGTAGCGTTGCATACGAGCCTCTTTGGTTTTCATTTGTCCTTCAGCCTCCTCTCTGAGCAAAACTCAAGTGCTGGCCTCAGTTACTTTATTGAGCAATCTGCCCTGCTCAGTCTTTCTTCAAAATATGAAATGAAAACTTAACTGGGATCCTTAAGGCATTAATAGCATTGTGGTAATGAATGTTTGTTAAGCAATTTAAAAATCATTATCCTTCCTAAGTTTCAGAAAATTTGGGATAATTATTATTGCTCTGGTGATTTCTGGTGATACCTCAGATGACCTAAAAATCTCCTTGTAATTTAGGAGCCAATTACTTTATAATTGCAACATTCCTAAACTGACAAGCAAGCAAAGGAAGAATTATGCATACTTTTCTTCTTTGCTTTGTTAATCTGATATGTTTCTCTAATTATTTAATGTTTTTCTTTGTTAGTAGTAAATCATCCTTCACTGTCAGAAAAAGAGTAAGGAAAATAAAACCACAGCTCTCTGGGGAATTTTTTTTGCTTTCCCCCCAAATCAGGTTAGTTCTAAGGAAATAGAAGACTAAGGGATGCAAAGGTGTATTGCCTACAGAACAGTGTTAGTTTTCCCATCTCTCTTCCCAACTTTTTGTTAGCCAGAAATGATTATTTGATACTGTGCTGAGAAATATAGCTAAGGGAAAACATAGCTTAACAAAGAAGGATATGCAATATTACTCACTGCTTATGCACATCTAGAATTATCTCCTTACTATTTAATGCAGTATGAATTTAGCAGAGAGCACATAACTTAGTGGCAAATTTCTCTCAGAGAGAAGGCAGGGAGAGAAAAAACATCAGAAGTCTCTTACTGTCATGCACCATAACTTTCATGAGAGTGAGAAGTAGAATGAAAAAATGTACAGCGTAGGAAGCAATAAAGTCTAAGACAAATGAAACTAATTAGCCATCTCAAGGTAATGCTTTGCAGCTGGATACATAACTCCTAAATGCAACAATAAGTTACATTTTTTTTACTGCATCAATAAAGAGAAAGGCATTAAACCAGAAATATTAAAAATAAAACATATATAGGCCTAATCCTTTAAAATATGCCGAGCTCCCACAGTTCCATTAACTTAGGGAAAGGGTGAGGGTGGCCAGCGAGCATATGGCCGTGGCCATGAACTCAGTTCTGCATCCAGATTGTGCTTCAGTATTTCTGGTTGTTCCTTCCTCTGTGGGTTTTGCCCCAATGACTTTAGCATGGCCTGCAGCTCCCACGGGGGTTGTACTGGTGGTACGGCCTCCCATAAAGGCTGCCTAAACCTGAATAGGCAAGGCTCCCAAGTCCAGAGGAGTTACTGGAGAAGATGGGGACTCCCCCAATGCTGAGGGCATCCCCCACAGCTGCGGATGCAGAGGATCCCACGGCGGTGTTCTGCGGGAAGGAGCTGAGGATGGGGCCGGGCAGGGTCACCACCACGGGAGAGGGCTGGATCACCACCCGGGAGTCCTGGCACTGCCTGACGCAGGGCTCGTTGCAGCTGTTGGCAAGCGGGGTAGGCCCGCAGGGGTTGGGAGGACACAGGTCGTAGCAAGACATGTCTCTGGGATGGAGGTAAATCTGAAACACAGAGAACGAAGCAAGTGCAATAAAGAAGTTGCAATTCTAGTCATATAATTGAGCTGCTGAGGTGTTGGAGAATAGAAGACATTAACTAGAGAGTGCATGGAGAGTGGAATAATGTGTTAGGTTGAAAGGCGACTTCGGTGAAAACCCCGACTCATTTACACCACAGAAGACAGCTCAAGGGGACTTCTGCCTCCTTCTGCACTGTCTTTGTGAGCTTATCTCCCAGGACGCTCCTCCAGGATGTACGGAGTATGTAGTAGGTGGGAAGTGAGGGACGAGGCTTACAATTCCCTAAAATATCTCTGGGACAAGCTCTACCCCACCTGTTGATTTGCCAAGGACAAAAAATAATTCCTCGGTGCATAGAAATAAGGAGCATTGCTTCATAATGTGACACTGACCTGGGATAGTGACCACTTATCCTCCCTGCAGGCTGGCTGGTCTCTTTAACAACAAAAGAGTAACAAAAATTCTGTCTAACTCTTGGATAATCTTCCCCTGCTCTTTGGCCTTACTTCCTCTTATATCAGTCTTGTGCAGAAAGTAGCTTTCTGCCTGTTTCAGAAGGGGGGAAACAGAAGCTGATATTGTCCAAAATTATTTGTTTAGCAAATGGAGCACGTGGAAGCTATGCTGTTAATATTCCAATTATAGGAAATTCAGATGCTGTTATGGCTATCAAGTGCTTCAAGTATCAGGGCATTTTTAGAAGCAGGATTTCTGGTCTCAAAATGCTTAAGAAGGCAGAAGCTTTTTGTTTTTTGTCATGTTCCCCTCTGAACCCCCCCCACCCCGGCCCTGGTATCCTCCTGCAAGGGGGCATATACTTTCAATACTGTTCAGCACACTTTCGAAAATTTGATCCCACATACTTATCTATCTTCAGAAAAAGACACAAGAAAGAGCCAACGACTTTGCACGGATTCTCCGTGTCCACTGCTAGCTTCCAAGCAATTCAGGTTCAGAGGCTGGACACCTAGGAACTGAGTGACCCATCTACAATATTAGTCCGAAGTCCTATATTCAGTGAACTCCACCCATCAAAAATCAGCTACCCTTTTTATAGCAAGAGCTACTTGCAAGTTTTCTACCAATAAAGACCAATAAAGAGCATAAACCTTAAAAAGCTATAGACAAGACTGTGTAAAATACATATATATATCATGAAGACAACAATGCAGGATGGAGAAAGACAGAAAGTAGATCAGACTTACTCTTTTCACCAGTGAGAACAAAGCAAAAGAAGTGGATAGAAGTGCCTCACACTGCGCTGGCTTTTATACTGTGTCCTAGAGTGCCCGAGGACCTGAGACATACTTTGTGCATGAAGCTGTTTACCAACCAGTTGTTAAAGGTTTCTTGCATGTAAAATATTCCCAGCTGATGATCTGCTTTTTCCTCACTGTTTGCATTTATTACCTTGTTTTAATTTCCTCACCATAATATATGCCTTCTACCACAGAGGTTTCTTTTATCTTAAAATCTTATAAGCCCAGTTAATTCCTGGTCAGATCAAATCAATTCAGTTGAGTTATTAAATAAATTGTTTTGCATCCTAAGTAAAATATACACAAAGTGTGTCATTTGACAAAGAAGAATACATACATTAGGTAAGATGCATGTGATTAAAAACTCCCCTGTGAAATCCCCCCTCCCCGTTTATGGAAAGCGTGTTTGAAACTTGAGCTCTAAAAAGGCCAGGAGTCGGTATTTCTGTTTCTGGACTTACAAGAAAGCCTGAACTCTAGGTGTATGAAATTTCTCTCAAATGGCCAGACAGCTGCACAAATTCAAAAACTAAGGCAGAATACTGATACTGACAGTGCTTCCCAGAACCAGTTGGACTGAACTGCTGTTAAAGGTCCCTATTGAGGCAACAGATTATTTGAGGGAGTAAATTATTTTAATTTCTTGACTTGGGAGAGAGAATCAAAGAGTATCAGCAGCCCAAACACATCATTTAATAGGCAACATCCACGAAGGACTTTGGGACGCAGGTCTTCAATTTAGAGACTGAATTTTCAAGGTCCTTCATCTAAGAAGTCTGCAGTTTTAGCTTTATCCATTCATCAAACTCCAGGAAAAATAATTAACATCAAATTGAGGCTTCATGTGAATTTTAGACTACTCAGAGACATTGGCTCTCAAAGTTCTACCCAAGCTTACCTAAGAGGTCATTAAATTGCCAAATAATTTTACATTTGCTATTATATAATCCTTTGTCCTACCATGTCTTGTATTATTATACAAAATTTTACTCCAAATTAATGGTAGCTACCTACAGAAGTGCTAAGTATGTATAATACTCATCATCTTTTTTCCTCTCTTGAAAGTGAATAATTTTATCTTCATTTGGCATGATCTAAAAGAACATTGCAATGTGCAACATTTCAGTTTCTTTTTCAAAGGCAATTTATAGATTAAAAAGTAATTGAATACAATGCATAAGCAGACTCTAGGGCAGGGATCAGTACTCCAGTCTCTCTTCTGCTAATGTTTTAATCACTCAGCTAGAGACATGTAAATTATCCCTAAATTGTGAGTGTCTTCATTAAGATCTCCTGGGAGACAAATGTTGATTGTACACTTTTGAAGAATGGAGGCCTTCAGAGTTCATAACATATTTTCATTAATGGCTCAGACATGCAAATAGTGCATTATCAACAAATTTGAAGGTGTGTTACAGTACTTGAATGTCATCTGGATAGTAGTACACTTTCAAAATTTGTGACCAGGATGACTAATTGCATTTCACATACCACATCACATTATATGGCTTCAGAAACCAGAGTTGTTCCATTTTTTTTCTTAAAATATAGTTAAGTATTTGTACCCACAAAATCAAATGTATAAAAATTACATTCCAGTCCTAAGCTACTCGATGTTCTTATGTGTGTGATATTACCCACATTGCCACCACCAGTGACACTATGAGTGAAGCTCTCCCATCCCTTCAGATTCACCAGTCGTTCTCCCATGCTTTTGCCAATATACACACACACCAACACATCACTGTAGTCTCAAAATGCTAAAAACATATTTCTCTTTAGCAATTACAATCTATTGACCATAACAAAAGCAGATATTTTTAAAATAAACTAATCAAAAGATAAGTTAAATAAAAGAATCACAAGTCCTCTCCTGAAGGTGATTATACCTCATGTTAGCCCAGCTGGTTTGATCTCCTCATCCCAGGAGCTGAAAGCTTTAGGATATTGCTCTTTGGCATGTTATAAAGAATAGTGAACCTAAATTTTGCAGTAATTTATCAGAGATGAAATTGCATACTCAGGACTTAAATTAAAAGCTCCTGCCATGACAATAGGGGGTACTCCCAAGGGCCAATGAGGTGAAAATGTTGAAGAAACATTGACAAAATTCCTAACCAAATCAAATTTTGACTCATCCTCGTTTTTGGAAGGTGGAGTTGGTATAATGGAGACAGGCATATTTAAAGGATGCAAATTGTAAAGATGAAAGAGAGACAGTGGATTGTGGTTTTCGTCTAATGCCAGGATAAGTCCAGGTAATAAACATAAACAGTAGACAAAACAATTTCATGAGGGGGAGCACTGCCATATGCACCAAAAAAAATAAAAAATAAAAAATAAAATTAATGCGGGAACTAGTTCATAAATGTGCAAGAATATCTCAGATCCTTCAGGCAGCCTGAGAAAGCTGTAAAAGCTCTTGCTCTCCAAACCTGCTCCCTGCAGGGACCAAGGCTTCCCATCTATTAAAAAAACCAACCATTATTACAACACAGACAGTGAAGCTAGAACAGAGCAATGACCCATAAAGTTCAAATTTGCTAGGCACAGCAGAAAGGAAGCAGTTTATAAGGACACAGTGGGA